GCTTCAAGGGGCCGCACCTGGTGCAGGCGGACGGCGCCGTGCCCTTCTGGGCGCACACGGGCAGTGAGTAGGGGCCCGGCCGGGCGGGGGGTGAAGCCCGCGGGGCTTCGTTTAGCCCTGTCCGCCGCCGGCTGGCCGGACCGGGGCTGCCCTGGCGTGTCCCCAAGCCGCTCCCATCCACCTGCGTTGGGGGGGGGGTGTCCGTACGGGGGCTGAGCACGGTGCAAACAATGATGGTTATTATCCTTATCTCTGGGGAAAGGGGGCCTGATACCGAAAGTTAGCCATGCGTCAGGGGACGGCCGGCAGCTCTGGGGCTCAGTCAGGCCCCTGTCGGCAGCTCGTCCCAGCCCAGTGATGATGTGTCACTCGGAGCAGAGCAAAACTTGTGGCCAGGGACCAGCCCTTGAAACGAGTCCCAGAGACCGGGTTTTTTAGAAATCAGGTTAGGCTCATGCCTTGGTTGCGAGAGGGCATGGATTTGCATGGTTTACGGCATGCTGGTTAGGTAACCTCTCCGTGGTTTGCAGCAGGGTTATAATACGTCTTTATTATATTTCCAGATTGCTGCTTCGCCCATTAGTTGGCTCGGTTTAGAAAACGTGTGGATATGTGCTAGTGGCAGAGCATTGCTCTGTCTCGGGTGCTGCAAATCGCACAGGTGTAGGGCTGCAAGGGACCTCGCGAGGTCACCTAGAGTGCAGCCCCCCACCTGAGGCAGGATTAGCTCTGTCCAAACCACCCTATACAATCCATAATGGAAATGCCTCCTAAAACTACCCTCAGCCCTGACACAGCACAGACCTAACACCCTAATCTGCCACCGGTAAAGCAGGGGAACCACAGCAGCCAACATCCTGCTTCTGTGAAATGTTGTCAGTACATGCTTAAGAGGTCCTAGGCAGAAGGTTACATCCCCTGCTACAGAGAAAGGCAAACCCCCATCATCTGTGCCAGTCTAAAACCCCCATCATCTGTGCCAGGCTGACCGTGGGGTACAATTCCTTCCTGACCCTAGATACGGGGATTGGTCTGACCCAAGACCCTTTGGCCAGGAACCTCCAGCTATGGTCCTAGCAGGAGCACTGGCGCACCCCAAAGAAGTATATTGACTTTCTGTGAAGGAATTTAATGTAGTTTAATGGGAATATTTGGACATCTTACATATATCTATGTACTTTTGCTAACTCTATAGACATGGTAAGATGCAGAGAGAGATGACTTTAAGCAGCTCTTTATTAGTGTATGTTTTTAAATAAATTGGTTGCACATAACTTTTTATTTATTAAATAAATAGAGCATCTAAATGTTCGTTCCAGTAAATCTTCTCTTTAGAACTGTATAACCACTGCACCTAGTGGTCCTAACTGAGATTGGGTTCCCACTGAGTACTTCATGTAATAGCAAGACCAAGTCCAAAAAGTTTAGGGTTTATGTTACGTGGGCAAGGAGTGCATAAAAGGAAGTAGTGCTTTAGTAGTGGGCACACAAGGTGGGGAAAATAAGTAATCTACCCAAGGTTACGTAGGAACATATGAAAGCGGAAAACTGAATGCTGATCTGCTGCCTTGGAGTCCAGTGCCCCAACCATGAGACCAGCCTTCTTCTCATGTTCAGGAACTTTGAATAAGGCACCTGTAAAACATTCAGTAACTTTAGAAAATCCTTCAATGCTGTTAAAAATGGTGAAGTATAGCATATTAATGTTAATATTTAATACTATTTGAAATTGGTTGGCTCAGCAGTGAGAACCATCTACTACGAGGCTAAGGTTAAGTGTCTGCAGGTAAAAATCAATTGCTGTGCTTGCTGTTATGTTCAATGCTGGTTTCTTTCCTTTTTCAGATGCCATACCTAGCGCGGATCAGATTCGAATAACTCCATCACTGAAAAGCCAGAGAGGATCAGTGTGGACAAAAAACAAATCTGTATTTGAAAACTGGGAGGTTGAGGTGACGTTTCGAGTGACAGGGAGAGGCCGCATTGGAGCAGATGGACTGGTATATGAATTTGATTTAATTTATACAACAAACTTATTTTCTAAATGTGAATCTTAACTTATGACTTGCATTTGATTCTTGTGCACAGGCAATCTGGTTTACTGAAGATCAAGGCCTGGAGGGTCCAGTTTTTGGGGCAGCTGATAACTGGAATGGTGTTGGCATTTTCTTTGACTCTTTTGACAATGATGGAAAGGTTAGTTGGAAACTTCCTCTTACAATAGGGTTGCAAAATGGTCTTACACTTGATGTCTGTTAGTCACACAAAAATATAATAGTTTTGTATTGCTTGTTTGGTTTTTTCCTATATATATTGGTTTAAAAATGACCCCCCCACTTTTGTTTCTTAGCTATGTAAAGAAAAAAAATGGTTCAAGTTTGAAGGTTGAACCTTGCTTTGCAATTAATCTTCACAGGAAGTACATTTTTTATGAGGCAAAGGCTTTATTGGGACCCTCTTGCTTTTGGTTGCCTTGTTCTTTACCAGAATTAAATGAGGTGTGGTGTAGTTCAGTGGTTCTCAACCTTTTATGTACCAGGACCCATTCATAAACATCAGTGGCCAGTCCTGAGCCAGTTCCCCTCACTCTCGACCCATTTCCCCCACCACCACCACCACCCCTCCCCCAACTCGAGGCACCAGCCCATAGTGTGTGGGGCAGGCAGGGTGTGTGGGGGGCATGGGGAGCCCTAAGCAGCCCCTCGCAGGCTGGAACTCTGCCAGCCTACAAGGAAAAAGCCATGGTTTCCAAAGTTTTTTTTCTCTCTTAAAAGTGAATCCATTTTTAAAGTTTGTTCACAACCCTTTCATATCTTCTTGCAACTCACTTTTGGGTCGCGACCCACAGGTTAAGAAACGCTGTTGTAGTTAATTTGAGACTATTGAATCTGCATCTTGAAGTCAGTGTGCATTTTGTCTTTGCTTGAGTTTTCTGTTTTGGAAATGGCTTGGAACCAGAATCAGTTGGGAGGAAACTTTAAAAAGTAATTAGACAGTCCCAGGCATATTTCCCTCCCTCCTTCCTGGGTGGAGGAACACGTAGTTAAGTGACTTCTTGAATAATAGCGAACTAGCATTGTAACTGTTTACTACTTTTACTGGCAGTCTTGTGGTAGTTATCAGAAATTAACAGGTGCATCCAAATGTGAACTTCTGCATCTCATTTAACACCCCCACCCCACCCATAGGGGTTAATATTTGAAGATCATTAAGGATAAAAAATTTAAGACAAGTTACTGAATGCAAGAATTGATATCCTACAACAGTACTAATTTGGCCTTGGTGTATGCCTTTGTATTTTAATTCCTGACCTTACTTAATAGTAAGCTATATATAACATCCTAAAATCTATAAAACAAATATACTCTGAATCTACAGTATGACATAGATAATATTGCTTTAGGGAGCTACATTTTTTCAGTTACTTAAAGTAGATATTTTGGAATAGAGCCAGAATTCCATCTTCTATAAATATTCTAATAAGCATGCCATAGTTATCTTTTCCAGTAATTAGATTCTGCACAGTAGATGGACCAGAAAAAAATCTTCAATTCTTAAATATATGCATTAATCATATTCCCATGGACTCATTAATGCTTATGATTATACAGTGTACACGTGATTATACAGTGTACACCAGCCCTGGTGACAGATAGGTCCTAGCGTCTACCTTCCTGCTCTGACCTGGGGTGGGTCATTCAGGTCCGCAGCTGGAAGGCTGCCCCCACAAAGGAGAGGAAACTTTTATATCGTTTAGACAGCCCTGGAGGCGAGCCTGAGTTCTGGCTGCATTGGGCAACGCCCTCTCTCAGAATCTCCATGTTACCGTTTCCTGCATCTACTCTGGGGTTTATGTGAAAGTCCTCTGAGAGGCAGCCTCCATCTGTTCTTTAGCTGCCGTGTCAGAGGTATTCTCCGCACAGTTAGATTTGAGATTCTGACCTTGGTTTACAAGAGACCAAAGCAGGGACAAGCCTTGTGCTTCCAATGTCATGAACTTGGTTTAAAAATGTCAGGGCTTTTCTAAAACTCTGTTTCTTTGCCCTCTGGATTTTGTGCCATTGATTATCTTTATGTCCCTTTTTTCTTTTTCCCTTCACAGTCATGGCAACTAGATTTTTATTTTAAATGAAATTTAAGATTCTCAACTCCAAGAGCTAGAGTTTTGAGCAGAAACACCTGAAATATAATAATTTGCAACACTGCTGATGCTCAGGATCTTCACGAGCAAAATTTTTCTTTAATTTTGATTTTCCTTAGCTATTTTCAACACTATTTTAGATCCAATTACTGTTTGTCTAGGTCTTATTTGCAAACACTACCTTTCACAGAAATCAATTACCTAGTTAACGATTAACACAGAGTACTCAAAATTAGTAGTTGTTTAATCCCTTCTAAAACACAAATATCTGAATGTTATTGTTCACTAGCCTTTGGAAACGAGTCATTTGTACAAGCTCAGTCTGAATTACACGCGCATTTTTTTTCAAAACCCAGGTTGAATAGTTCCTGTGTGAAATAGAAATGAGCAATTAAAATGTGCTTTTTAAAGAACTTTCACTGCAATAAAAAATGAATAAGAAAACTTCTGAGTGATTGTACATGGTTATTAGTCTTGCAGGATAACTACTCCTGTTAAAAAGTAGAACTGTTAGTACATTTTCTTTGATCAGTATCGTGCCTTAGAATCATCATAACTTACACTAACTTACGTCATAAATTAACATGGAGGATCCTCAAATAATGTTTCAAGAAAAATGTAAAAAAAATACTTTGGACTTATGTTTCTGAATCCTTTCCTTTTTTTAAGGATTGTAGCGTAGAAAATATGCAGTTCTTTGAAATAATGCGTACCTCAGAGAGAACAATGTTTTAAAGCCCATGAACTCCAAGTGCTAATTTTCTCAGCCCTTGGGGACTAACAGAGTCGCATTGTAAACTTCCCCTCCTAATATCTTGGCTTTTTCCAAACTTTTTATAAACTTTGTTTGTTCATACTGTTTGTTTTTTTTCCCCAGAAAAACAATCCAGTAGTGGTCGTTGTAGGCAACAATGGAAAACTCCATTATGATCATCAGAAGTAAGTCTAGCCCTTAATTTATCTGAATGTGGTGTTGATAGATGAAATAAGGCTAGAAGCTTTTTTTTAAGAGGTTGAAGCCAGTTAAGAATACCGTTTCATAGTTGTACTTGCACGTACCAGTATATATGTATATTGTAACTATTGATTTGAATTTACCCTCTAGAAACCTGCATTATTTTTGTTTTCAGACTTTCTTGTTCCACTTGAGAAGCATTGTAGAGGCTTTCTTCTGCATTTGAATTAAAAAAACTTTCTGATTGATGGGTTCCCCACCCCTAGTGTGGGAAGGGGATGTAGAGCCACCGGGTCAAGAACTTCCTCTTACCCCTGACTGGAGAGCATGCCACTGAATACCTTTGCTGGGACTTTTGTAGCTCTCTCATTGTGGGGTTCTACACATCTGTCCCGCCTCATAGTGCTCCTTTTTTTTTTTTTCCTTTTTAGTGCTTCAGATTGTTACAGCACTTGTAGAAACTGGTTGTCCCCTCTAAAATAAACTGGTGGTCTCATTCCTTGTGCTTGCATCACATTTGACATCCTTTGTGGCTGTGTGATCAGGGCACAGAACTACAGCCTCACACATTTCAATCCCAATCCAAAGGCTCGCGTGTTAAAAAGGCAGCACGGAATAATTTGAATTACTTCTGACTGTGCAAAGCTTACTGCACTGTTGGTCCCAAAGCTTTGTGAAAAGCAAAATGCATGCTTGCTTGCTTGGCATTTATTACTGATACTTTAATGCCTTTTTGTTTTCTAGCTTGTAAATAAAAAACAGAATTTTGTGAATAGATTTTCTTTTTTCACAGTGATGGTTCCACACAGGCACTGGCATCTTGTCAGAGAGATTTTCGCAACAAGCCCTATCCTGTCCGAGCAAAGATTACATACTATCAAAAAACACTGACTGTAAGTATTTGACAGTATGAGGTGTCTTGTTCCACTTCTGGGGCTTTTACATTTTGATAGTTCCTTACAACTCTTCTTAAAATCAACAGCTGTGGGTCTGGCAGGAGAAATCTGAGCCAAGAGTAGTGTGGCGAGCCACTCTGCAAGCTCCGGTGATACATCTGTAGTATGCTTGTCTTTACATTCCTAGGGTGCCTTGGATAAGTACTGCAGGTTATGTGATGCTTCTGTGGGCTAAAGTAGTGATTCTGAACATTTTTAGACATTGGGCTTGGCACTGCTTTGTAACTTTTATGAATTGAGTGGTACCCAATGTTTATATATATTAATAAGTGCACACCCCCCCATGAGGGGTGTCTCAAGTGTGTGCGTGCATGTGCGCGCGCGCGCGCACACACACACACACACACACACACACACACACACACACACCCCTGTTTATCTCCCTCAGCAGCCTCTGGTGGCACTCCAGGGTGCCCTGGCACCCTGCTTGAGAATCACTGGGCTAGAGAAATTTCAAAATTATTTTGATTTGTTATGGAATATAGCTGCTTCAAATGGGGTGGGATGAGGGGAATACAAACATAATATTAGGGTGAAGCAGGGATGAAGTTAATATTCCTTTGGAATTAAGTTTTTAATTCTGTTTTTTTCTTTAATAAAGTAATCATAATATACTTTAAATGTATACGGTATTGTTCAGAGATAAAATGAATGTTAGAATCCAATGACCATTTGTGATGTGAGCATTCCCTGCCACCAACCCTGGCATGAGAGAGTTATTATCTGTTAGCCTGAGCAGTTCAGCTGGCTTTAAATACCGTTGAATGATTTTGTGGAGGAAGAGTCTCTACACTCAGACCCAAACCTTTATGTATATACTGAAGTCAACCTGTTGAGTGAGACCCTGAAGCAAATATATTATTACATTTATTTGTACAATGTGTTTTCTGCTACCTGGGCCCTAAGAGTAACTTTTTAAATTTGTATAGATGCTCTCTTGTCCTATCTAAACTAGGTTTAAGACTGACATTTCTTAATTTTCAAAGGGGAATCCTAAAGGAAAACAAAGTTTTCTATTACTGTTGATTAATTTAAAATAAATAAACCACAACAACAAAAACCTGTACCTCTTGGACTTGTGATTTTAATGATGTATTTATCCCACACTGCATAGCAAAGAGCTTCAGGAGTGAAACACTTCATGATTTTATAGTTTTAGAGCTTTCTGTAAAGAAGCTAATCAGTACATTTTTACTTTATTTATAATGCTGTGTTTGGGGGAGGGAATTTCAGGTATAAACCCAGGTGTTTGTCTTTCTAGGTATTGATTAACAATGGCTTCACTCCAGATAAAGAAGACTATGAGTTTTGCGCGAAAGTGGAAGATATGATACTACCACCACAAGGACATTTTGGAATATCTGCAGCAACAGGGGGGCTTGCAGGTGATTTTATTTTTGTTCCATTTCCCCCATTTTGATCCCACTCCTGGTTTTTAGTTTTGGACGCCGTGTTGTTTAACTGGCTTTCTTCACCCCAGATGTATAAGACTTTAGTAAATTACCACTTGGCAACTGACATTAGAATGAAGGTAGCTATAAATGGCAGAATGTCCAGGGGACTGGCACAGAATGAGGGTGATTGGCCTAGGAATAAGATGGAAATGACCTGTGTAATAGGAATTTAACATACGCAATACGAGCTGCTGGTGTTTCTCAAGTGTCTAGCAAAGGACTGTCTTACAGACTCAGTGGTCTTGGCTAGTCCTCTAAACCACCTTTTGTGCACTGTGCTTCTTGTTGAAGAAGAGGCTTTCCTTCCTTTGTGCACTGAAGAAGGATACCTCCTGTGCCAGCTGCACTTGTTGTTCCATGTAAACTATGTTCCATGTCTCATTCTGCTTCTTGCTCTCTGCATCTGCATGAACTTTGTAGGACTTTTAATCTCCTAGGCATTCACCACCATTCACAAATACTAGGTTGACTGGGGAGGAAAAAGTCTTGAAGGGTATGTATTACTCTAATAATTAAGAGAGACTTTTAAAAAACAGCATGGGACATTTGTATCCAGCTTATTGGAATAGACTTGTTGGCAGTGGACTTAGGCATCTAAACATGATTTTGTTCCTTCCTGCTCAAATCCTTGGGAAAACTGTTAATATAAATCCAGGTTGGGTGCCTTTTTCACCTCACTTCCTTTTTTGTGATTCAGTCTGAAGGGTGATATGATGGTGTATTACAAAAGCAGGTGGATTCATGGATTTTTCAGGGACTCGAGCAGAGTTGAATAGAAAGGCATGTGGGTGTCTGTCCACTTACACGCCAGATAGGTAGAATAGAATCTAGCCCCACATGTTTTCTTTAGATCATGGATTTTCAGATTGGCAGATTTACATTTCAAGTGAAATGAGGACTGCCAGAACATTTTAAGCCATTCTGTATTTCGGGGGTGGGGTGTGGATAGATAGCCAAGAGAGAGAAGTTAAATGGAGCAGCTTAGAATGTAGATAACTCATTTTAAAGTACACTCCTTTAAAAGCAAACTTTTCACATTTTTCCTCTGTCTGCCGTGCCATTTATGTGGCCTACCGATCCAGCTGACCAGTTAGTGAAAAAGAGGAAGGCATCACAAATTCTGAAAGCCTAGAATTGTATTTTTAAAATTCCCCAATAAATCTGCATTTTCATTAGGGAACAGCTTTTCCATGACTTGTAATAGTTACAGGATATGCAGGTTTATTTGTGTGTATTTTTGCTTTCTTTTTTTCTAATGCAGATGACCATGATGTTTTGTCTTTTCTGACTTTCCAGTTGACAGAGCCTGGGAAAGAAGCAGTAAGCATCTCTTTATAACAGAAACATATCTTACAGATAGGAATGTTGATTGTGTAGTTTGCAGTCTATTAAAATGTGGTGCAATCAGCAATTAAGCATCCCCTTTCATAACTTTTCAGTTTCAAAATGTTGGCGTTTAGTTATACAGGCTGCTATCCTTGGAAAACGAGACTAAAATATGTTTCATTAGTAAAATCTCAAATAATAAAGTTTTAATGCTGCCCTCTTTGAAGGAGTGCTGGATTAAAAATAAAAATATCTTTATTGTAAACACAAAATTTAAACAAAAAAGGTATACTTCTCCCAATTTCCATGCTAGGAAAATGAAGGTGTGCCAGTTCCATTTTTCCTCTCTACCTTATTCTAATATAGTCCTGCAATATTTGTCAAGATTCCTTTTACACAGGGTTTTTTTTTTTCTAACTACAGAAAATTCACAAGAAACAACATGGCAGGAGAAACAGTGCTAGTACAACTACTGATGAGTAGGTTCTTGTAATGTCAACTTCAGTGCAAGTGTTATACTTATGAGCGCCGAATGGTGCACTTTCCAGGATGTAACATTGCAACTGAAGCACATTTATTTGCTTTGAGATAAGTCTGGTTGGGAAGAGACTGTAAGCTTTAAGGGTTGCTAGTAATATCTGTATATCTTATAAACTTGTTTTATAGCCTGTCCCTGATGCAGAAATTCCTGAAAAAGATAAAGAGAAATATCAAGAGGAGTTTGAGCATTTTCAACAAGAACTGGATAAAAAGAAAGAAGAATTTCAAAAGGAACATCCTGATGTACAAGGACAGCCAGGCAAGTTAAATGAACACAATGTGAATTTGCAGGGGAATAATACTTTGATAGAACTAAAGATGATGTTCATGGCCACAGCCAGAGTAGCTGGGCCCACAAAAGGCTGAGCTCCCTGGACTCCCCTTCACATCACTAGCCTTATCCAGGAGTTCACATCACTAGCCTTACCCAGGAATTCTTTGGCCTTCCCTGTGCTAAGAGATTGCTCTCTTTCTCTATCTCCAGTTCAGATTTGTCTTTTTAAGGCTCTCTAACATTTTAGCTCCACCATCCCTTTCAAATGTAACTAAAGTGTTGATATTCACCATTATTTTGCAAATAAACACTGGTACCCATTGCTTACTCTTCCTGAAAGCTACTTGAGACTTTTTCCCAACCTCATATTGCACTGTGTTTGGGAAGGCTACCTTGTCAGAATGTACTAAGGTACCTCCTTATCACAAATTACTCCTTGAAATTAATCTCTTGTTTTTATGTCTATTCATTCCTGGTTGGTAGTAGACAACTGAACTACCAAGACTGCTGTGGCCATCAATTCATGCAAACACAGCTGTCCCTCTTGTTACTATGCTCATCTCTGTTCCTTTCTCCTTATTGGTTGACCTCTTGTATATTTTCTGAATCTAGACCTATAGTGTGAGCTCTCTGAAATTAGGAACTATTTATGTGTGGACTTTTTTTTTAAGGGATCTGACACTAGGTTTTGTGCAGAGGTATTGCTAGAGTAAACAGCGCAAATATTGAATATCCTTAGCCATTGGTAAATTGTGTGCTTATGGTGCAGAGCTAGAAATGTAAGTAAAATAAAAGATTTCATTGTATAGAATTGGGCTTGGAAGGGACCTTGAGTCATCGAGTCCAACCTTTGCACAGATACCATGCCAGATTGGACATCTTGGAAAACATAAGATGAAAGGTTTCACAATCACCCTCGGCAGTTTGTTCCATTATCCTACTTTTCTCATAGTTAAGAAGCTTTTCATAAAATGAGGAAATTATGCATCTCTCTCTGAAAACAGGAGCTATAAATGTCACTTTTCCTTTTTGTTTTGTTAGCGGAAGATATTTATGAAAGTGTAAGTGATCGTGAACTGAGACAAATCTTTGAGGGGCAGAATCGAATTCATCTTGAAATTAAGCAACTTAACAGGCAGTTGGACATGATTCTTGATGAGCAGAGGAGGTATGTCTCTGCAGTGACGGAAGAGATCGCCAAAAGAGGAGGATCAGGTGTTCCAGGCCAACAAGGACAGGTGAATTTTAAACTGTACCACCAGTCATCAGTGAACATAACTTTAAAGATGTGACTCTTCCCTCCCACCCCTCCCCTTTTTTTCCCCTGTGTGCTCAGCTCTATTATGTTCGTTTCAGGTTTCCCAGCAAGAGGTTGACACTATTGTGAAAACTCAAGAGGAGGTCCTCAGACAAGTGAATGAAATGAAGTAAGCAGACATGTTCAGCAAGGCAGTAGATTGTGATTGGATCTTGCCTTGCTTTGTTTTTACCCAAGCCTGTAACTCCACTTATCAGTTCAGTGTAATTCTTTCCAATTTGCCCCTGTGCAAGTTATGTCAAGATCAAGTCCTAAGAATTTGTATGTGGAGGGAACTTCTTCAGTTCCAAACTCAAGTTGGATAAACCTATTTTAAATGCCTTTTGCATCAGTAAATGAATGATTTAAGACTTCAGATACCAGTAGCAAATTGAAGGGACATCACCAGCAGGCAGTCCTGTCTTTTTTTTTTTTCCTCATTTTTTTAAGAGCATTTCAGGTAAATGCGTTTTCCTCAAGACGCTGTATTGGTTTTCATGGGCAGGGTAGAAGGGGGTGGAATTTGCACTAATATATGGATATCACATGCACATCATTTTTATATGTTTTTATACAAATTTTTTTCTTCCCACTGCTAGTGTGAAAAGACCATGCAGGCAGGAGAACTGATTATGGAGGTAAAACAGGGAAAATGACTTGAGGCATTCTCTAGAACAGGGGTTGCCAACATGTAGCATGCATACTAGGAGTGGCATGGGCGGCCCCATGCGTGGTAGTCAGGAGACCAAGCAGGGAGCAGGCAGCACAGCAGCAGATAGGGCTGAAAGCAGAGCAGTGGATTGGGCAGGGGAAGGGAATTAGAGTGGTAGGGGTGTCATTTGTAGCATGCCAGCTAAAAGGGTTAGTCCTCGCTGCTGTAGAAAACCCTATTATGGCGTCTAATTGCTGTTTACTCTAACTTTCCTGGCCAAAGCAAGTTCCTTATGTCCCCTGGAGTTCTCTACTTTTCTTGATTACAGAGGCTCTTTTTTATTTTCATAATAATTAAAAGGAACACAATTAACAGACTGAAAAATAACTTTTTTCCTAATCTTTTGGTTTCAGTAACTTTGTTACATGTGACAGTGGATTAGAATGAAGATACTGATGGTCTTTTATTCACTCAGTTTATATTCTTTAGAAAAGCAGACAACTTATTTTGCTTATTTCTTATATTCTTTTTTTGGCTTTTGTCATTGGTATGAACAGTATTTTTCTGTCTTTGTGACACAAATCTCCCACTTTCAGTTTGTACTGCTGATTTTTCTTTCTTGTACTGATAAGATTTTTCTTTCTTATAATATGAACAAATGTAATGCAGGTAAATTCTGATTTCTGAGCGAAAAGTTTTTCTGTATGCCAGGTAAAGATTTTTCATGCCTGGAACAAGTGTGTGAAACGTCATTATTTTTTAATATAGGTGTTTGCATACATCAGGGTACTTTAAGGAATTGAACTTTCCAGGACATTTTCTTAACCTTTTCTAGAGTTCAGAAAATATTAATTATATAATTTTAATTACACACACACACACACACACACACACACAATTGTGCACGCACACATTTTATTAAATATATTACATTTTTTTTTCTCTAAACTGAAACAGTAGTGATATAGATAGCCAGATAGGTATATCACCTCTCTCTTGCACACTTTTTTTTAAACTTGAATTTGGGACAGTAACACTTTTTGATATCCTTAATAAGTTGATGCTGTGGGGCTTGGCTTTTTAAATTTCATGCTGTGTTTAGTATTTTGCTCTGTTATTGTTTCTGCATTTAGAAGTTTAGCTATAGGTGTCATTGCTAGTTTTAGTATCTTTTCTTACCATACTACTCCTTTTAATGAAGTAGCTGTACCTGAAACAATTACATGTTTGTTATAGTTAAGGAAAAGAACCTGTTAAGCAGAGGGGTAAAGCTTTACCACCACAGTGAATAGTTGATCGGAGATTGATCCTTATCACTATAATTTATGGCCTCTCTATATTGATCTGTAGTTACAATTTTAGATTGTCCAACAGGTACCATTTTACCTGTAGCTGTGTTAATAATCCAGTTGCCTAAAAATACCCAAATTCCTGGTCTTGAATTATTGTTCATTAAGCATACATATTAAAAAATGAGTACCTTAAAAAGTCCCCGTTCTACCATGACTGAAGACACGGTTTACTGCTGACCTTTAGTGGAACTGGGAATTCAAGGGCCAGACTTGGAAAAAATCCTCAGCTCATGTAGTTTGGTCTGGATTTTTAAAAAAATAAAATAAATAATAATAGTGGTAGTGAACACTTCTGGAAAATCTAGGAAATCTCTTGGAAAAAATGGCTTATTGTGTGTGCTGAAGACAGTGGCTTAAATAACCTAGAACTTGTTAGTTCATAATGGCCTAGAACAAAGAAACTTTCTACTATGTAGCATTTATATATGAAAAGGAATTTTACTGCAGTAATTTGGCATTGTATGTGCTTTCAGTATATGCGATGCTGTACACATTAAAGGTGGAAGTGTTAACTGTAACTTCAGATTTTCTGAGTTCTTCATGTGACATTGTTTTGTGTTTAATGTGACTCTTAAAAGTTGCCATGTTTTTTCTGGAAGAAATTTAATAGTAATCTTGCATTTAGGAAACGTGCTTCCATTTCATAACTGCATTTCAAAATAGCTGCATTGTGCATTTTGGTACATGTACGGTCTCTACATGCACTGTATGTGCTCTGCATTTATTTAGAAATTATTTTTGTTGTTTTAGGGTGAATGGTCTAATTCTTCAATTTTGTGAAAAATGGGTTTATTGGTTGATTAAACCCAAGTGCCTTGTATACCATACATGGATAATGATAAACGGCATTTTGATTGCTTGATTGATGATGGACCTTTTTGCTATCTTTCAACTGAGTTCAGCTGTATGCTGATCTCTGTACCTAAGTATAGTGCAGTTAGAACAAAATCCTGTTTAAATATGTTGTGTGGAAAATACCTAGAGTTTAGTTTTGGTTTTTTGTTCCTTCAGTGAAGCTTTTCTGTCGGGCCAAAATCAGCCTGCCAAAATCACAAAAGATGGTCTGATGTATTAGTTTTGTTGATATCTTGGTTAATAGTTGTAATTTTTTAAAAATGCACATATTGCACATTTTTTTAAATACATCTATTCTGATTTGTGTTTTTTCTGAATATAGATTACTGATTTTATTAGAGGCAAGGAATTTTTCAGGGGTATCTTTTTTTATACTTGACCTATTGTATAGTTGGGAGGGATATAGGCAGGTTTTCATATACCAAGTACCCTTCCTTAGGTCTCTGCGGGGGAAAAAAACTAGGCACAGATTGAGCTAAATAGCAGACGGAACAAAGGCTTGTACGCAACTCCACGTGTAAATAAAAACAGGATGTAAGAGAGATCAGGTAGTTAACAGACGAGACATGCAATGGAAAGGATCTGAAGCAGACTGTTGCCTACAAAAGCTTATGCCTTTCTGAATGAGTTAGTCTTTAAGGTGCCACTGTGCTTTCTGCCTGATCAGTGGAAGAGCAAGCCCATTCAAGAGTCACCTCATCTGTGCATGCAGAGAGATTAGTGGGGAAATTTTGTGATATTTAGTTTTACTAATATTTTAAGCTGCAAGATAAAATTTTAAAAAGAGTTTCCCCAATGACGCGTCTTTTTGTACTACGTTCAAAGTATGAGAAAATGAAATAAAAATCTTTATAAACTTACCTCATTTTGGTTAGGAAGTCTTTAAGTTACTTTTATGTTTCTGATCGTTCAAACAGTCTTTATCTTCTGAAACAAAATGTGCAAATGATGTTTACACTTCCATGTTTGAACAGTCATATTTTGCCAGTATTAGTTCAAGGACAACCTATCATTATCCATCTAAATAGGTCAGGTTTTTTTTTTTTTGTTGTAAAATAAAGATTAGAGTACTTCCCTTTTTTTGGTCCTTGTTCTTCTAGGAGAGCTTTTATTTTAATATTCTTGACAAATCTTTATACCAGGGAAGCAAATTAGATTTTCTTGTTAACATCAGCAGACTGGACCTTCTAGTTGCTACTTATTAGGTATGCATTTGCGTAACATCATCTTAATATTTTTTGCTAAGATTAAAGAAATGTTTTTTTATAGATAAAAATGAACAACAGTGTTTTTATTGGTCATCCCCTGAGGAACAGGACTTATTGTCAAAGTAATTTTCATGGCAAGATTTGCAGATGTCTTGGTCATCTGATTACAGAAGAATCTTTGCCTGTGTAGACAATAGAACATGGGATGCTTGTTTCTTTGAAGGGACAAAATAATTTAAATTTGACAGAGGCCATATTTATATAGGGAAGTTATTTGATCTATTTGTTATTAAAAGCAATCTATGAATTTTTATTGTCGGGATTTGTGCCTATTATGGGTAGGTTTAGGAAAGGTGTTCAAAGTCTCTAAATTGAACAATTGACTTCTAGAATAAAAACATATGATAGGGTTAGATGAATAATAATCTGCATTTGAGTAGAGATCACTACCCTAGTTAGATATAGTTTTCATGGTTTAGATGACAGAAAATAATTTCCCAAATATAGGGATGCTCTTATGGTAAAATGGCTCTTGGTAAAATAATAGAAAATATTAGGATATTTTTACCACGTTTGAATATTTCTCTGGGGGAAGAAATAACTAGTAATTGTTTTAATTTGCCACGTGGACATTTTGAATGTGACTTTTAAGATTATAACATTCTGAGACCAAAAATATAAAATAAGAGGGGGGTGGACACCTGCTGTGACTATTAGCAAAAAATTAAAGCATTTACTTTTTTAAGCCATTTTTTGTGGTAGGCTATAAATCACAATAAAATGGGAACTTATTTTGGTAAATATTGGGAATTATGCAATAACTTGTGACTGGCTATGTTTGGCTTTTTGTGAAGTAAATATTCTGGAACTTGGCTGAGATTTAACCAGAAAGACTAGAAGAACCTGTAACTGGGGTGCTTAAAACTTCATCCCCTGTTGTTCACTGGCTTTATTTATTTATTCATTTATTACTTTTTTTTTTAATGGGGTGGGGGGAGGGGGGGGGGGGGGAGGGGTTGCTGTCAGAAATCTGTTCTGTAAAGGAGAATTCCTGGATTATAGTAATGTCCTAGTACGGGGGTTGTCAACTGGGAGTACACATACCTCTGGTGGTACTTGGGAAGGTCTCAGGTGGTACGTGGCAGTGGCATGGAGGGGCAGGGGTACTTGGGGAGCATGCTGCCATCGCTGCTGTG